AATTTTTGGCCATTATAGCTTATTATACAAAGCTAACAGCATGTACCTACACGGATACACAGTTTATCGACTGTTTTTCTTGCTTTTCAATATATGTTGAGCTAGCACAACTGAAGTCATTTGAGCCATGACTAGTCGACACAGACCCAGTGAGTTGACTAGTCGTGCAACCCCTAGTGCGCAAGAGAGTGAAATTGAAGATACGCTGCTGTGTATGTGAGAGTGTGAATGAGTGCATGCTGGGTAATGAAAGATTGCATGCGTATGTTTAATTTGTTAGTTATTATATAGTAGTTCAGTGTGCATCTAAGTACACTACTTCTGTACTAACGGTGTCTCCCCCTGCAGGATAAGACCAGCGCGCTGAGTCTCAGTAACGTGGCCGGCGTGTTCTATATCCTGGTGGGGGGTCTGGGTCTGGCCATGACTGTGGCTCTGGTGGAGTTCTGCTATAAATCGCACCAGGAGACCAAACGCCTCAAAATTGCCAGAAATTCCCAGAACTTCAAACCAGCTCCTCCATCCACCACACAGAGTTTCACCACATACAGAGAGGGCTATAACGTCTACGGAACAGAGAGCGTCAAAATATAATGGTTCGTCTAAGGCTGTTTTCTTTGTGTTTTTCATGTTTGTTAGTAATACCATTTCTTAAGAAAAAGGTATTAATGATGGGTGATCTACTTTTGATGAGTGATGATATCAGAGTTGCTGTTCAGTTCTGAGGTAAGTAAAGTTTCCCACTGTGTTAAAGCTGCGTCTTTTTTTTGTTTTGTTTTTTTAGAATAACACTTATAAACTGTCCCTACTATTTGACAGATATCACTAAAAGAGTTGTTCTGAGAAATCACACTTGTCTCTGTAACTGCCCTAAGCTTTGTAAACATAAAAGAAACAAGAATTAGAGTGTGATTCAGTCATGTTAGCCAGTCAGCAGGGTTGGGAAGTGTTGCTTTAAAAAATGACAAATTACACTACCATTCAAAAGTTTGAGGTTGGCAAGATTTTTTTTATCTTTTTAAAAATAAGTCTCTAATACTCACCATGAATGCTTTTATTTGATCGTAAATAGTCAAAACTGTGATACATTTTGAAATATTAGAATTTAAAATAACTGTTTTCTATTTTAACATGTTTTAGATCTTATTTATTCCTGTGATTGCAAAGCTGGAGTAAAAGCCATTACTCTAGTCTTCACTGTCACATGATCCTTCAGAAATCATATTAATAAGCATACTTGGTGCTCAAGAAACATTTCTTGTTTTCAGTGTTGAAAATTTTTGTGAAAACTATTTTTTTTTTCAAGATCCTTTTATGAATAGGAAGTTCAAAGGAACAGAATGTATTTGAGATAGAATTTTTGTAACATTATAATTGCCTTTGTCACTTTTGATTAGTCAATTGATCAATCCATTAAATTCTGAAAAATATGTACTGACCTTAAACTAAAGTATGCATTAAGTAGTGACCATGTAATATGAGCTATTTGTAACCACATTTTGCCAGTAAGAAAATCATAAAACTTGAATGCAACCATAATATTGGTTGCATTTAAGTCATGGCCTAATGGTTAGAGAGTCAGACTTGTAACCCAAAGGTCGGGGGTTCGAGTCTCGGTACCAGCAGGGATTGTAGGTGGGGGGAGTGAATGTACAGCACTCTCTTCCACCCTCAATACCACGACTGAGGTGAGACCCTTGAACAAGGCACCGAACCCCCAACTGCTCCCCGGGCGCTGCAGCAAAAATGGCTGCCCACTGCTCCGGGTGTGTGTTCACAATATGTGTGTGTTCACTGCTCACTGCTGAGCGTGTTCACTTGGATGGGTTAAATGCAGAGCACAAATTACGAGTATAGGACATCATACTTGGCCACACGTCACTTCATTTCACTTCAAAATGATGGGCACCTGTCAAACTGTCAGGGATACATACAGTAGGAGGTGGTCTCTAATTCAATGCTTTAAGATGTAGTCACATATTTACTGTTTGTTCTGCAAATTTTCAGTCGGAATCCATGCGATCAGGAATGTCGCCGAAGGGTGAAATAATTCCCCACGCAGATTTTGGTCAAGTGAAATTGCTTGAAAGCTGCTTGGTTTGAAAGTTAACTCTCAGTGAGCTGCGTGTCATACATCACTACACTATTGATAACAGACAGTGGGTCTTTTGTTGCTGAAATTTTGCTTATTTGACCACACTTGTAGTCTGGTGGTATTTGCAGCAGCTTTAAATTGTTCGCCATGAATCAGGAACTCCATCTCTTCAAACTTTCTGCTTTTAGATCAGCGCTTTGTTGATTTGCTGCCTTTTGTCTGAATTGTTCTGTTATTGTCAAAAGAGCATATCTGTCTGCAAGTCTCAAATAGGTCGGGCTGCTCTCTTTTCTTATTCTCAGATTGGAAGCCTGTCCCTTGCTGATCATGTGGTATGTGGCATGGGATAGACTCTCCGCCTCTTTGAGTCGACTGCGATTCCCTTTAGAAAGTGGACACGCACCCAACCAAAACTCATCTCACCAGAACACTTGTCTTCTCGGCTCTGAACACAACCTGAACCAATAATCACGCGACAGACTATCGGATGGACCAACACCCGCTCGCCCTCTCTCAGTGCCTTACTGAACCAGTGGCAAAACATGCAGACCATCTCACCAAAGTCCTGGAGATGTCCTGCTGGGTGCTGGGTCTAAAACCATGTTTCAATTTATTCTTATTATGAGAGGGAATAATGGAAAAGGAGGGAAGGAGAGATGGACACACACGGTGATAAGCGGTTTGATTTGGTTGATCTCATGATCAGTGATGACAGTGTTTAATGAGTGACAGTCAGCTTGTCTCCATGACAACTCGCACTAGAAGGAGTGTCTACAGACAAACATTTTATGCAATTTGTAGGAAATATTTTTGAAGGATTCTGCTTATTAATTTAAAGTTTGTACTGTGATTCTGTGTCCTCAACAACATAATTGTTATGAATAATGTAAATAATACTTTCAGATGCATTATGGCATCAGAGGACTAATCTCAATATTATTTCCCTTTCACAGTTTGCAGTTTATTTCGATTTGTTTTTTGTTTTTTTGTTCTTAGCATATTTACTTTGTAGTGAATTCAGGCTGTATGTGCAGTGAGTGTGTGTGTGTGTGTGTGTGTGAGAGAGAGAGACAGGACACGTCTCTCTTTTCTGTACTGTAAACCCAACAAGAGTGTAAGATTCTAAATTTGTTTGCCAAATTACTTTATTCTGAAACATAGGAGCTAATGACAGCACATTCATGTAACATCAGCAACAACAACAAAAAATGTTCATATATTTCTGTTTTCTGTTTAGATCAGTTTTTTAAGTCAAGCTTAGGAAACAAAAAATGTTTAATTGTTTGCAGTTACTTTTTTGTTTTAAAATGCTTTAATAAACTGCGATTATCACTGAGATAAAATATGAATACTGTTAAGCTGATAAAAAAAAAGAAAACATGGATTTTTGATTTTATAAATGCAGATAAATTCTCTCTGTTTAAATTCTTAACATTTGTTTAGATGGTAAAATGCATATTTATTTTGTAAAACTTTGATTTTTAAGTAGATTTGCATGTACGGAAAAGATGAAAACAGCTTTCACCTCAAGAAAGCCTCCCTTGACATGTCCCTCTTCCCATGTCCCAGTCCTCTGCTCTCCCTCTCCTCCTCCATTCCCTGTTAATTAAAGAAAGAAAGAATAGAAAATTATGAAATGGTCAAGATACATCCTGAGGAAAACAATAATCTGTCCCTCTGCATGACTGCAACCAACTCTTAAACATTTAAGTATATTTTGTAAATAAAGGCAGATTTAAGACAAATTTCTACTGACTAATGTGTCATTTCAGCTGTATTACCGGTGAATTTAAGTATATTTAATCTCAAACATTCTCATTTTTTCATTGACGCTTACATTTGTCAGGCAATTTCAGTGTTGGATTGCCTTACTTAGAGTTGTCTGTACAGATTAGGTTGGTAGAAGGTATTTTAATGTGAAAAACACCTTATGTCATATTAAATTTTTGTCATCTTTTATCATGTCTGACAGCTACACAGCTGGAGCTCTGCACAGCTGACTGACATGCTCCACTAAACTACCAAAGAACCACGAGATACTGTCAAAAGCTCTGCATTCTAGATTTTCAGGGCTAAATGAAGAGGTGATCATATTTATAACTCACAAATAATCCTCATCACAAATGCAATACATGCCACCTGCTGAGCAAATAAGCGCCTGCTGTGCATGTAAATGTAGTACATGCTGCACAGCAGCAGCTGACAGTTAAACAGGTTTGCGTAGAAAGAGATTAATGGTAAAGTGCTTCACCGCAACTGCTTTTAGAGCTTTATAACCAGTGTAGTTCTATTTGGTTCCTCTGAAGGCTGGTGTGGCGTAGCGGCAGAAGCCCTGAGTTGGTCACCAGAGGGTTGCTGTTTCGATCCATGGAATCATCATTGGTCCCTTAAGACCTGCAGGAGGACTGTGTCTGTAGAAGGCTACGTGTGGATAATGAGTGAATAAAAGCGTCTGCTAAATTGCTGCTACTGAATATTTGAACAAGTGTAGATTACGGGTGTTTGTTTTGACTGTATAAAAAGAACATGTACAAACGCAAACCTTGAAAATACACTCCAGTGTCTGGCTTGATGCTCATTGTAGCAGTTCTGCAAACTGGCCATATGATTTTTATTCAGATGATAAATGGTGATGCACCCGCCACACCCCTCCAATGCCACAACGCTCTCATTTCCCCAATGACTCAGTGGTGTTTTAATTTATGTGCCGCCTGTCTGGTTTGGATGAGACGAGCTTTTGCTGTCTATATCCACCTTATTTACTTATTTATTTATTTAGTTTTGCTGCCGGTTTGTAAGATCGCTCGTGTCCCTTCGGTTGCCTGGCAACGCGCGTGGCAGTGGGCGCTCCTGACCTTGCGTCCGCGACCGCGCATAGCGCGCGCGCTTAAAATAGACCCGGGGAGATTGACGTTAATTGAAAATAAGAAAAACGCAAGAAGAGCCGAGCGCCGTTCACACGGCTCGACGGGGAAAAAGGTGATATGTTGGATGGTGGGAACAATGAGATATGAGATTATTACAGTGCACGCTCGGATGCGATACCGGCTGAGCGATTCGGCAGGTGAGCTTCATTTTCTTATTTATGGCTGATCTGATGCGCGCCGTCGGTTCTCAATTCAGGCAACGATGAGAACGAAAAATCCCGAGTAATAAGAGCAATTTTCCGATGCTGGTGAATAAAAAATATGGGTAGTTATAATAAAAAAAAGCGCAAATTGGATTGTGTATGAGTGTATGTGGAACGCGTTTTGATTGAATAATGAACGCTGGTATAATGAATGCGCCGCGTTGCTAGTATCTGGGAAATGGCTACGATAAAAGGATGTGGTTTTTGAAAAGGAAATATTTATCTTTTCTTTCTTTGATTTGATTTCATTATAACGGCATTTTCTTTCTCTCATCTGCAACATGAAAGCTCGCAATCGTAAGAGGGTTAGCAGAGAGCGAGTGAGAGAGAGAGAGAGAGACGAATTGGTAGAGAGAGGAAGAGAATTATCATTCGAATAACCTCAAAGCCATGATTTGCTGCATCTGGGCTGTGGGATCTCGTTAATCATAGTCATTAGATGGCCGTAAACAGTCGGCTTTGTAATTCTACTCAGACTACATCAACTCATTCGCATCTGTTTGAAAACACCTCTGCCAGCACCGTTATTTAGTTGTTTCACAGGCCTGTCTGCGCGAGGGACACTCGGGGGTCGAGTCGCTCTCCGCATGCATGCTCAATACCCGCTGATATATTAATCACGGGCGGCGCGTGACGCTGCGCGCGTGTGAATTCAAGCTGCAGTTCGTCACCTGTTGGAAAGGTAACGGCAGCGCACGCGGGAGTGCCAGTCAGAAACCAGTCCGTGTGGTTGAATCCAGGAAGCGAGACCCGTACAGATTTCAAGTTGTCATGGTGATTTTACCATCTGTTGGCTCGGTTTGCTTAAAGCTTTCCCAGCGCGTGCACCTGCGTGCGCGTGTCTAAAGGCGTTATGTTGTATGTTTATGATACAAAACTCTGGTATTAGCCGATTCGAGGGAAGGTTCGTGACACCGCAGGTACATTTTCACGAGCTCTTGTTATCGGATGTGAAGTGAATACGGAACCTGGCGTGTTTTATAATGAAATGCCCCCGCATAGTTTATTATCTGCGCGCCATCCCGCCACTGCACCGTTCAGTCGGAGCTACGGAGGAGGAGGAGGAGGAGGGACAAGACTATTGGTATTCATCTCTCGTATGGTAGTCTCTTTCACCGTCCCTGCCGTGAGTCCGGGGAACACACACGCATACACATACTCACCCCATTCCTAGTGAATGCAGAAAAGAAGCGGTAGCCTATACCCTGTATCATTAAACCTGAATAGGCAATAGCACCAGTTTCATGTAAATAGAGCTAAATTCGCCAATTCAATGAAAGCTGACTTTTTCATTTAATTTCTCGCACAGTTATGTGGGGTAAATATCAAGGACCCCAATCTTGAAACACATCACTGGCCTGCACAGCTGACCTGATTCAGGCGCGCGCCGTCTACCCCTGTCCGCTCGCTACTGGAAAATGGGCACTGGAATAAACGGACTCCCAGTATTCTCTCGATGGGCCTCCACGGTTCAGATTAACTGACCCACATTACAGGAATGGAGGAACCCAGCGCTAAAATTATTGACAGAAATGCAGGGCACACGACAAATTATTTATTTGCATCTGCTGATATTCTACAGGTAGCGGTTCTCTTCAGCACCATGGACAGCGACAAGCATGAACAAACAGTAAAAGATCGGTAAAAGACCCAAAGGGCTGGTCCATGCTATACATGTCATACTACATGGCACGTCATTATATATGTTTTAATATATCAGATGACTTAATTTGTTCAACATTTTTAAAGATTGAAATATTTAGGCTTATTTCCATGCACTCAGCATCAGCATGTTAGGCATCATGGAAAATGTTCTTGTTTTTGTGTAATTTGTCAAGTTGAAATCTATGGTTTTAAAACCTGAGCTTGACCAGCGTTTATTTCTGAAGGTCAGGTGTCCTTAATTCAAAATACTTTACAGATTTCAAAAGGTATTGCATAATTTGAATGACCCAGTTAATTGTGCAATGGATGATTGTAATTATTTGTCCTGTTGGTTGCTTTTTTTTTTTTTGCATAATAACACCAAAGATGACATCTGCATAGCAGCTGGCTTTGGTTAGGTTTTGTTCAGTTAGCTTCTGTGTAAGACCTGGTTTATTTTGCATTGGATTTTTTATTTTGTGTTTTTGTATTGTTTGCAGTTCTAAAGTTGAATTTACAGGAAAGGCAACTACATAAAATAGGTCATATAAGCTAACACCTGCTCAACACACCAGCGTTTTACAGCACTGTGTATGAAACTTGTTTCATACCTCTATGAGTGCCAGGCAGTAGATATCAAGTATTTTAGGTTCTGTACTTGAAGTTGATAGTGATTTTGTATTGCATAGTGCTTTGAAGCATTTAATGCATTTGTTTTAAGAACACTGTATTTACATTTACATTTAGTCATTTAGCAGACGCTTTTATCCAAAGTGACTTACAAATGAGGAATGTTCCTGGAATTGAATTTGTAGGGTTTTTTTTATAAATTTTGAATATTTTAATAATTTTATGTAATGTTTCTGAGATAAAAGATCTGATACAGAATTCTTTGAATCTTGATTTGATCATTTAATTTGTTTACATCTGAGGCTGTAAATGGTTGCAAATCAGTGCTTTTTTTACCCAGAAAGTGTGTGTTTCTGACAAAGCCTTGGGAAGGCTTACAGATTTGGCATTTGCGTGTTCTGTAAACAGTGCTTCAGGGACAGTGAGTTAGGAAAAAGGGGATTATTGAGCCCGATGTCACCAAGTTTGTCTTAAAAAATGTTACAGCTTAAGTATCAACAGAACAGAATAATACAATTACATTTGATAAAACTTCGGGGCTTTTCACAGATTAAAAGTTGTTAATAAAAAGTTGTTGATTAATAATAGTTCTGAATTAGTGCCCCATGAAATAATGCACATAAAATGCTCCATGTATATTCATACATGACTTCATACCAGACTGGCCAATGCAACATGTCTTCGGCTAGCAAATTTAATCTTCAAGTTAAACTTTAAATCTGAGACACGGTAACTGTCCCGGATAAAGAAGAAGTTCAACGCAATGCACAATTCCGTTTTACCTTAACAGTCAGATTTGTTGTTTCATATTGATTTAAAATAATTTATATGAATCTTTATGAGATTCTAGAATTTAAGCCATCTAAATAAAACAGTGGTTCTTTGGTGCATCACTTTAGACTGTCAGACCTCCAGGTCTGATCTTTGGCCAGGTTTTTAAAGAAGGATGTAGATGTGAACTCTTGTTTTGTGGTTGGTCCTCATCGCTGCAGTGCAGATTAATGAATGCTGTGGGTTTCAGCCCGTCGGCTCTACATGCTGCCATCCCACAGCGTCATGCACGCACATTGATTTCAGATAAAGTAACTGCTCTGCGTGTTTGTGGGTAAGCATTGAATATTGATCCACTAGCACAACATGCATTCTGAACACAAGCACTGCACTATTAGACTTAAGATCCTCCCCTCAGAAGACATGAGATCCACCTGCTGTCCATGTCTGATCCCTCATGAGACTGAACCCACAGTGCTGGAGCTGTGCAAGGGTTTAGGGTTAAAGAGTCTGTACTTGCTATTTAGTGCAGGTGTGAATGTGATATGAACCACAAACTGTCTGTGCATCTGTAATTGAGTGTCCCTGCTTCATGTACACACTACTGTTCAAATTTTGGGGTTGGTAACATTTTTGTCTCTTATGTTTCATCAAAAATACAGAAAAAATATATTTTAAATAAATATTTAAATATATATAAAATATAAATATTTTATCATCTTATTTTTTTATCTGAATATTATTTAAAATTGCGTTTTTTTTATGATGCCAATGCTAAATTTTCAGAAGCCATCACTCCAGTCACAGTGTCACATGAATGATCCTTCAGAAATCTAAAATCTAATATGTTGATTTGGTGCTAAAGAAACATTTCTTATAGTCTTGCTGCTTAATAATTTTGTGGAAATGTAAACATTTTTTAAAGGATTTTTCAGGAAGATGAATCGAAAGTTTAAAAGAACAGCATTTCTTTGAAACAGAAATTGTTTGCTACATTAAAAATGTATTTTCTGTCACTTTTGACCAATTAAATTTTTTTTTCACTGAATAAGTATTAATTTCCTTCAAAATGCCCTAAAAAGTATTTGCCATTCTTGACCCTTTTTAAAAATATTTTTGGAACCAACACAAGGTAACTTTTTGCAGATACTGTTATGAAGTCAGTTTCCCTCACATTCACTCAGGTGTCATTTATCATAACTATGATTATGTTCCACCAACCCAATCTCACACAGAATTTACGAGGTGGCAATTCTGAATTTGTACAATGAGAATGCATGAAAGCATATGTTTTTTTTTTTTTTAAGTAAGCATGAATCAAGGTCAAATGGGCATAGTCCGATCAATCGAAAATGTATGAATGATATGTACAAATTCAAACTAATTAGCCACCAATTTGACAAAACATAAAATAGTTACGAATTGCCATGAGAATGTGTTGGTTCCACTGATGTTTGACATCCAGAAAGCCTAAATACATTTTGAACATGATGCCTATTGTTTTATAATGTTTATTTTGTTTTGTTTACATGGTTTTGCATTATAAAGTTAATTTAAACTTCTTTTTATGCTTAAAAAGTGTGCTTGCGCTGTCTTTCTTTAAAATAAACGGGACTTGGTTTGATATTCAGTTATCTAATGCTATGACATTCATGCATTTTAAGTTTGACATTAGGTGTCTCTTTTTGGGGCCACTGTATGATGAGTCAAACTGTGTTTTCTAAAGGAATTATTAATATGGTTCATATTCTGACCAAAATGTATGTGTATATGTCTGGTGTTGAGAGGTTCTGGCTCTTACATCTTGTTTGTGTGTATTTCAGGTTTGTGCTGAAAGGATCTGTGTGCTGGAAAAATGAACAGCATCACCTGCTGAAATCATCAACCAATATGGAGCACTTGATGGTGCACACCTGGCTGCGGAGATGCACACTGGATCTGCCTGAGTGTGTGGTGCATGTTTGTTTTTGAGCGCTAGAGTGAGATTGTGTCAAAGCAGAGAGTGTCATTGAGCTACTGACAGATTTATCAGTGTGAACGTGTGTGTGCTGTTAAGAAGGGACCATGTGGTACACACAGCCAGCAACTTACCTGCCGCTTACCCACCTGCTCTGCCGACCTTTGAACTTTGCTCTGTGTTGGCTGCTTGTGTGGTTGATGTGGTCAGTCTCCATGGCAACAGCACTGACCTACCAGCCCACAGTAAACACAGCACTTGGCAGGCTAAGGGGGATGCGGGTTGCTGTGGCAACGGAGGGTCTGGGCCCTGTGGATCAGTACCTGGGTGTGCCTTACGCTGCCCCACCTGTAGGAGAGAAGCGCTTCATGCCACCCGATGCTCCATCGGCCTGGTCCGGCGTACGGAACGCCACCCGCTTCCCTCCTGTCTGCCCGCAGACTGTTCACAACGCAGTGCCCGACATCATGATGCCTGTCTGGGCCACCTACAACCTTGACACGGTCGCTACGTACCTGCAGGAGCAGAGTGAGGACTGTCTGTACCTGAATATATACGTACCCACACAAAGCGGTGAGTACACATGCGAAATGTACACACACATTCCTTCATTCGTATACAGAACACCACTGGTTTTGGTTCTTGGTTCCTCCAATGGTTTCTCCCTCATCTACGTACTGTAAATATGCTAAGGAGTTTTTACTCACCACTTGAGGGTTTGTAGGGCACTATTTTTGCTTTTCTTTTCCATTTATGTGCTTTGTTTTCCTTTGAGGCAATGTGTTCATTCAGACAGTTCATGTTACTTAACACATTTTTTTTTTAAATCACCAATTCAATTCCTATGTTGCATTTTAGATCTTCTTTTTATTGCAGAATATTTATCTAAAAGCTGTTGCATTTATATAAATTAGGATATATTGTAGTTTTTTAGTTGTGTTTAGTGTAAATTTCTTTGATAAGAACACACACACACACACACACACTATGTGCATTCAGGTAATTTTTGTTAGTTACTTTTGTTAGTAACTCTACAATAAGGTCTCAACAAATGCATAAACTACCATGAACTAGCAATGCTCAACAGCATTTAACCTTTGTTAATTGTTAAACTCTGTTAAAATGTTCATGTTAGTTCACCGTGCACAATTTAAAACAATAATGTTTTAAAATCGTATTCCTGTGACGGCAATGCATTTCTTCTTAAAATCCTTCTGATGGGCTTATTTGGTGCTCAAGAAATATTTTGTGTTATTATCAATGTTAAAAGCAATTGTTCTGCTTACTATTTTTGTGAAAACCTCGATAATTGTTTTAGGATTTTTGATACATAAAAAGTTAAAGAACAGCTTAAAGAACAGTAAAAGAATATAACTCTTTTGTAACAATGTAAAAGTATTCACTGTCACTTTTGATCATTTAATGCATCCTTGCTGAAGAGAAGTATTCATTTCTAAAAAAAAAAAAAATTGACTGTAGTTTACCTACTGTAGATCAAGACTGAAGCTGGCCAAACTTCAGTTTCAAAGCTTCCCCAACACTGCAACACACATAATGCACCAACACAGAGTTTTGGTTGTAATGTTGGATGTAAAAAATAAAATGAAAAAAAAAAAATTCCACTGGAGCCCTGTAATGTTAGTTTACAATCTCCACTGTCTTCCGCACCTCCTTTCAGTTCCTGTGTTTCTCAGCATTTCTAAGCTACTTCAGAAGCTTCTCTAATGTCAAGTTGAGTGCCCATGGCCAGATTCAACTTGAACTGAAGCAGCATCTGTGTCCACTGGAGTGAACGTTGAGAGCACTGTTTTGGCCTCTTTTAAAGGAAATAGTGAATTACTCTTGGCAAAATGCTGAAAGCTTTATTACCGCAGGGTTCGGAGTGGGAAAATGAACCCTTGTTGCTATCACACAGTAATTTAGAGAGAAGTCCACTGAGCTTTTATACATCACCCACTTACGCACAACCCCCAACACACACAAACACACCCATATGTTTCTCTGCGGTCTAGTTTCTATCTGCTCATGTAATTTATCATCCCTCTGTCTCCTCTCTCTCTTTAGGTACAAAGAGAACGGGCGACATGTCAGCTGACACAGAGCGTTCGGAGGATGATGGTACGTCCAGTTTTCATCATTCTTTCAGATGAATTCATTTTTAATGTTTTTCCTATTCATTTTTTATCCCCTCGTGGTTAATGCGAGAGAGAATAATCTGGATGAAATTTACACAATGTTGCATCATTTTCAGGATCATTTTAGAAGGTGGTCCAGTGTATTTGCCCTGCACCTTAGGGTGGTTTTCTAGATATCAGCATCAGTATGATGAAATGCCCATATTATCAACCACTACTACTGTAAATGTACAGTTATTTTATATACTGTATATATATGTAGATAGTATTTCAAATGCAGTCCCATTACTAGATTTTGACACTTTCTCTTTTTAAAGTTTAAGCAGTAATTCAAGCTTATAATCATTCGTAAATCCAACTGATGAATAGACATTATTCATTTGCCTACCCTGTTATTTGTGAACACTGAATTTGAAGACAACACTTCACCATGAAATGACTATAATCATTATAATAAATGAAAATTGTAGAAATTGAGTAATTTAAAGGAAGTCTCAGAGGCAGTTCTTCGCTGGTTACGTTGTTATTTTTAGTCACTTGTGTTCTGAATGATGAGGAGTTAAATAGATTATTTAAAGCTGAAGTCTGTCAGTGGTGCAGACGATCTCTGTGGAGATTTTAAGCAGCTGTGAAAAACACTTGAGAATGCAGAGAGCCTCATGTTTTTTGTGCACTTCTGTTTGTGTGTGCGTGTGTGTATGCAGGGTTTAGGGATTCTCGAGATGACCCGCGTCCAGTGATGCTGTTTATTCATGGTGGCTCGTACATGGAGGGCACGGGGAACATTATGGACGGTAGTGTGCTGGCCAGCTACGGCAATGTCATCGTCATAACCCTCAACTACAGGATGGGAATATTAGGTTTGTATCTCAAGGAAATTGTTTTTCTACATTTAAATTTGGTCAAATCAGTTTATTAAGCTTAAATAAGAGGTTTATGAATTTTAACAAGTACAGAATTTTTCTGTTTTGGAGGAAAGATCAACATGCAAGGAAGGATACTGTCACTCCAAATTAGTGATGCGCGGATGGCGGTTATATCCGCGGGCGCTGCGGATAATCCGCGGATCGGGTGGGTCGGGTAATAAAAAAATGCATTCTGATTATTTGCGGGTGGGTCGCGGGTGGATAAAATAAATCATTAATGATTCAAGTATTAACTACATTTTCTAAATTATGAACGTGTTTTAAATAGGCTACAGAAATTGAATAAACTGTAAATTAACATGAAAAGTTATTCAACAAAACATTTAGTCAAGAGCAGTAAGGGATTTTCTCTGTCTTTTGTTGTTTGATTAACATTAATAAAAGACGGCACAGCTTTATTAGGCTGCTGTCACAAGACCTATTTCACGGATCCAATACTGATACTCATGCATTTTATTTTGCAACTGTTTACATTAACTTAAGACAAAACCGACAGTAGCCTAAGAAGACGCGGTACAGCTGAATCACATACGCTGTTTTCATCTGATGGTTTGTGTGGATTTATTTACTCATCTAACTTACTTTCGAGTGACGTTTTAGCTCATCCGCGCATCACTACTCCAAATGCAACACGTCAGCCATTATAAAAGCATCCAAGTCTTTGGAAGACCTCAATAATGTTTTATAAATGCTTTGGGGAGCAGATCTGTCCATTACAGCTGCATTCAGAGAGAGTGCTGTGCTTCTTTTATAAAGAGCTCTGATTCTGTTTAATCTCAGCGACTATATATATAGGTTGTTATATAAATATACTGTATATAATATTTTAACAACCTATATATATAGTCGCTGAGATTAAACAGAATCAGCGCTCTTTATAAAAGAAGCACAGCACTCTCTCTGAATGCAGCTGTAATGGACAGATCTGCTCCCCAAAGCATTTATAAAACATTATTGAGGTCTTCCAAAGACTTGGATGCTTTTATAATGGCTGAGTCGCTGAGATTAAACAGAATCAGAGCTCTTTATAAAAGAAGCACACTAACAGCACTCTCTCTGAATGACATGCAGGCATATTGAATGTAATGTAAGGGAGTAATGAAATACAGGCCAATTTACAGATACAGTATTTCACAGAAGTGAGTACACCCCTCACATTTTTGTAAATATTTTATTATATCTTTTCATGTTGTTATACAAGCTGTACACTCACTACTTTACATTGTAGCAAAGTGTCATTTCTTCAGTGTTGTCACATGAAAAGACATAATAAAATATTTACAAAAATGTGAGGGGTGTACTCACTTCTGTGAGATACTGTATATATATATATTTTAACAACATAATTTTAAAATTATTAAAATTAAACACACACACACACACACACACATATATTATAAAGTGTAAAATTGTAATAATTATAATATCTAGATTGGCTTTATGGTATTTAGTCTATAAACACATTTATTTAGTAAAAACAGAAATTCACAAAACTGCTTATAACAAAAATGTCTGTAAATTGGCCTGTATTTAATTACTCCCTTGCATTATATTCCATATGCCTACGTGTCTACATTAATAATATAATAAAATTCTATATGAATATCCTACATTTCTGCCACAATACCACAGTTGCAGTTAGTGTTACTACAGTAAATCCATTGTAAATATTGGTGATTTGTGGACTGTTAAGTATTCTAACTGAATTGTTGTCGCACAATGTTTCTCCTGTTTTCTGCGTCAGTGTGGTTGAGAATGTCAGCGCTGTTTCATCTGGCTTTAAACTAATTTAAATCACCACGACATCTGTGGTTTGTATCGGAGACCTCTGCTCCAAACTCAAACGCTTCGCAGTTTGCACGAAATCTCACAGCGCTGTTTAGTGGTCTCATGAAAACGCATTTGTTGTGAGCTCGCACTGCGCTGTCTTTAGTTATTACTTAAGTTATTACTTAGGCAGTAATAACGGTCTGTGCGGCGCGGATCACACAAGTTGCGCTTTTGGTGCGTTTATGCACTGAATCTTGCGATCACATTAAGTATCGCACATTAAGTATAGCCCCTGCTGGTAGATGTCATACCCACACCACCTGATGATTTTCTTTCAAGCAAAGTATACAGTAAAACTAAACAACTGCCAATGAAAAAAGAATTTGTAATGAATGGCTTTCTTTTGATATAACCCCCCCCTTGCAGCTACAGTATTTTTTATAAGATTTCCAGCCATTTTCATAAAGTTGTGAGGCCATATTTACTTCACGTTTCAAGGATTTTTTATGCATCATTACAAAAAAGGATACCCACAATCTCATAAGTGGTTCTGTTTCTTTAAACTGCAGTAAATTCTTCCTGTTTTCAGCTGTCAAAAACAGAGATGTTATTGAAAGTTTCACTCTCAAGATCACTGATGAGAAGTCAGAAGTCGATTTTGTCAAATATTTCTGTCCTTTGTCTTTCTCTCAGGATTTTTAAGCACAGGTGACCAGGCCGCTAAAGGGAATTATGGTCTCTTGGATCAGATTCAAGCTCTACGCTGGATCAACAAGAATATTGGATATTTTGGTGGTGATCCGGGCCGCGTGACCGTGTTTGGCTCAGGAATCGGAGCGTCCTGTGTCAGTTTGCTCACTCTTTCACACCATTCTGAAGGTTAGAGACCACACACCTCGAATAATATTAATGTTTAATTCATCATATAAACATACAGATGCAGTGAAATTCTCTTCAGTGCTGTTCCGAACATTTATATTCAGATCATTAAAATGTGTTGAAACAGAGGAACATGACAGTGAGTGCACTTTCATAAAACTGTATTGAAAATATGAATTATACTTGCATAATGAATGAAGTGGTTGGAAAACAAAATGTCCTTTTAAAATCTGCTCACTGGTAATTAAGTAATTTTCTATAATGATATTTATTTAATTATACCCTATGTAACACCTTATGATAATCAGTTAAAGGTGTGTCTCTGTAAGGCACGTACAGTGTATTTTTGCAGTCCGTTACTGCTGAGACAGCTGCCTCTGCAACCATGACCACTGTCACATCTGAGTTTCCGTTACCACGGTAATCTCTGCTGTAACCATGGTAACTCGTCTCCTGCCTCATCAGCCTTATCCCTCTGTTGTGGGCCTCGAGTGTGTGTAGGTGTGTCTGTCACTGCAAGGCATGTGTGCAAAGTGTGTTTTAAAGAGATCAGAGCCAATCACACACACCTGCAGGGATATTGATCCAACATAATTGTTTTGCTTCAACGTACAGTATTGATAACACTCTGTCTCCCCTATGTCTCATCTCTTTGTCTCACTGTTTTGTGTTTCTCCCTCTTTGTGTCAGTTTTTAAAATTTGCAGTGATTTTATGCACAGTGTATTATTTTATAGCTCTTTCTCACTGAATGCATTTACACCCAGAATAAAACCCAGGTGCACTTATTAAAAATGTAGGTGGATTCTAGGTGGTTGTATACTGAATTTCCCAGAAATTCTGCTTTCTTATGGAAAACCATAGCTCTGGTTTTGTCCAAATTGACTGTCACTACCAATTTTTGCAATTATTGCTCCAGCAGAGAGCATCTCCGCTACATTCCTTATTTTGTGTGGACCGCAGAACCAGGTAATCCCCGTTGAGCAGACATTTGATTTCAGTGTGTATAGAGTGAGGTCTAGGGTGGCATACTGCTCCTCCACGGTTGCTGTATCATTTACGTAGATGTTCAAAATGATTGGACTCAAGCTACATCCTCTTCCTGGAGCCTTAGAGTTCTCTCTCCTTCCTCATCTTTTTAGCTTTGCTTTCTGCAGTTTTGTAGCTACTCTGAAAAACACTGATAACAAGTCATTAGGATTTAAGCGCTCTTTAAATTATTCTGACTGTTCCAGACTGAGTGAAATATACAGTATGACTTCAAACAATTAAAAATCAATTTTACTGTTCACTAGAAAAGCTCTTCTGCAGACAAGGATAAATCTGCATATTGATGTGGATTCTGTTTCATTCCGTATGACTGAACATTGCATTGAATAAAATAATATTTTCTACATGACAGCAATAAAGGGAAATTCACAGTTTCCAATGTGCAAAGATTACGTATTAGGCACTAAATGTATTTTTTAACATTATTTTTAAAACACATTTATTATGTTTTTTTGTTTTTTAAGGTGTATACACCTGACAATATTCTATATAATATAATATATAATAAATAAAAATAATAATATTAAATAATATAAAACAAAAATGTAAAACAAATAGAAACAACATGTTAATGTCACACTTAATGTTTTTTTTTCCCTCACAGTGTAAATGGGTCTTTAGACTTCATATTTGGGTCATTGGCAAAACAGTTGAAAACCCCTAATCTAAGACCTTGTGTATTTAGTTTGATAATAGCTGACTCGAGTTTCACCCCCTGAAATTCACAAAAAAAATTCAGCTCCCATCTGGTGGGTGGTGGGCATGTTTTACACCCAGTAGGGCATCCCAGTAGGATGTAGCTGTTGAAGTTGTTTCTCCACTGTTTCCTTGTAGAGTAATTTGCATGAGTCAGAGATGTATGCACTGGTTATGGAAGGCTTGTCTTGGCGGAAATGATATGGTAGAACTGAAATGCTTTAGTCTCATGATCAAGGTTGTTGGAACTTGTTTACACGACTTTCATGCAATGTCACCATAGAGTCATGACATGAGTTCATTACAGCAACAGCCCTGCTGGAGCAATCTGTGTGTAGAAGTGTCTTGCTCAAGGCCACAATGGTGATGACTCATGATTCATGCTTTGCGGAAAACATCTGATGATATTGGTGGACATGATATTGTATTCTAGGCCTATCAAGTTTGGGATTAGTGTCTCTGTAGACATGGTAGCTGTCAGATATCTACATTCACTGCCTCAGAGGTGATAGCTGAATGTGAAGTATTAAATGATAAAAAAAAAAAAAGTATCCACCACCGACCAGATGGGAGTTGAACATCGTAGGTTGAAGCACAAGCCAACTGATCTTATATCATCGAACTGAATACAAAACTGTTAGTGCAGTTGAATATGAAGTGTTTTTAGTCTAAATTAATCAGTAGCCATAATGGATTCAGCTGGAGCATTTATTATATGGTCAGGAAAAAATGCCACCATAAAAGCTAAGATGCCCCTGGAGATCAAGTGCCCCTTAATAAAAAAAGTTCATTTCTAACATTGAACCCAACAGATTGTTCGGCAGATGTAAGAAGAAATTTAAACACTGAGAGTGGAGTGGATGAGAAATATATAATGATTTGGCTGAAGGTTGTGAGGGTCACATAAAGATGGCATTAGTGAGTCTCTTAGAAAGCCCAGGATGTGGATGTACCCTTCTTTCATGACAGGTGAAGATACTGCAACTCTGCCCTTTGCGGAAACAATACTAATATAATTGCTGATCTGGAATATTGGCATGGCATTTACTGTTTTATTTGCTTCTGACATTCTCTGTTCTCTCTCTAGGTTTGTTTCACAGAGCAATCATTCAGAGTGGCTCAGCACTGTCCAGTTGGTCAGTGAACTATCAGCCTGTGAAATACACACGTCTCCTCGCAGAGCGCGTTGGCTGTAATGTCCTTGACACACAAGTATGATGTTTCTTGTCATTTTATGAGTATTTTGAGTTATTAAAGAGATTTTTTTGTGTAGAAACTTGTCAAGTGAGATGGAAATAAAAAGCTATACACTTGCTGTCACACTATGTAGAGTATGTGAAATTTCATTGGACATTGTAACAGACAGGATCACAATTTACAATAAATAGCACTTAAAATGAGAAAATACTGTCCAAAAATTTTGGGTGTTTAAGATGTTTTTGAAAGAAGTCTTTTATTCTCACCAAGGCTGCATTTATTTGATCAAAGATAATTAAAAACATTAATCTTGTGTAATATTACAATTTAATAATAATTCATTACATTTATATAGCGCTTTTCTAGGCACTCAAAGCGCTTTACATTGTCAGGGGGTATCTCCTCATCCACCACCAGTGTGCAGCATCGGCAGCATTGGCAGCACTCGGCGCCTGGTCGGGAAATGTCATGCCCCTTACCATAGCCGCCTGCGAGCTTCAGAGTAAATATTGAGTCAAAATCAAATCAGTTTGAACGCGATTTAAACCCGGATGATTGTAACCACTCTAAGTTCGTCTGCCTTGGGAAAGCTAGGAGCTAAGCACTCCGACATAGTCATAACACTCGTTGCCTTCTCTAGTGCAGCTCAACCAGGTCTCATCCCATTGGTCGATATTTGTGATATCACAAATCCCAGAAAATATGCGTTGCAGTTCAAACGAGTCGTTCGTTGTAGTTTTTTAAGTGATATCTGTTAAATAAAATATCTCCTTTTGAAGTGGACTTTGAGCTTTGTAACTGTGCAGATCTTTTTTATGCTCAAACAGCAACATTACAGACTAACTAAAGTTGAAAAAGTGAAAAAGCATAATAGGACCCCTTTAAGGATTAAATGAAAAGCTTTAGAAAACAGACAAATGTAATTTGCATATATAGATAGATTTTGTAGGTCCTAATAATTAGGAAGCGTTTATTTTAATGTAATTATATAGCCTACAGGTTTCGATTAGATGCCACTCACGTGTGTGTCTGCATAATTTAGCACATTTGCAGACAGTAATTTTCACTTGCAAATGCGAGTGAAGGCTTTAGTATCAATGGATTCTTTGTTGAGTCAATCAGACCTTGTTCTTGTGCCTTTGATGAATTGAAAGTTCAAAAGAGACGCAAAAATATTTTGTAACGTTATAAATGTCTTGACTGTCACTTTTGATTAATATAATGCATCATCGCTAAATAAAAGCATTAATTTATATTAAAAAAAAAAAAACTAACTAACTTTCCTGCAATATATAAACTGTTGTTTTAAATCAATCTGTGACATTTAAATCTTCGATTGTTCGAATTTCTTTGCAGGTCACAAAACTTGAACATTTGTATCAGAATGCAAATGTTCTCTGCATGTGCCTGTGTTTCTCTTCTACCATGTTTGCATAGATATGAAAGGAAGTATATAAATTGAATACAAAGTCAAGTATGACCACAAATTTAGTAGAACTACAGAGCATAAATGTTTAATTCCTCACACCTGCTCAGGATAAGGTTAGGGCCCATGAGGAGTTAGCATTGTTTTTGGTTCCCAGTGTTTTGATTAATAAAAAATATTTCATTTTTAACTTAAATTTAATGTCTACCTTTTTATGACTAGCAGTTTTTACCAGTGTAGGTGTGGAGGCAGATATAACTGTTGTTGCATGTGTGTGTGTGTGTGTGTGTTTTATGCAGGATCTGGTCCTCTGCATGCAGAAGCGTAGCTACAGGGAGCTGGTGGAGCAGGAAATTCAGCCAGCACGCTTCCATGTGGCCTTTGGCCCTGTCATTGACGGTGACCTCATCCCAGATGACCCTGAAGTGCTCATGGAGCAGGGGGAGTTCCTTAACTATGACATCATGTTGGGCATTAACCAGGGAGAGGGATTCCGGTTTGTAGAAGGCGTGGTGGAACCAGAAGAGGGCGGGGTTTCCGGCTCCGATTTTGACTTCACGGTATCTGATTTTGTAGACGGTCTCTACGGTTATCCAGAAGGGAAGGACACTCTCAGAGAGACCATAAAGTTCATGTACACAGACTGGGCTGATCGAGACAACCCCGAAACTCGTCGCAAAACCCTTGTGGCCATGTTTACGGATCACCAGTGGGTGGAGCCAGCTGTGGTGACGGCCGACCTGCACGCACGTTACGGTTCTCCAACTTTCTTCTATGCATTCTACCATCACTGCCAGAGCCCCATGAAGCCTCCATGGGCGGACGCCGCACACGGTGATGAGCTGGCCTATGTGTTTGGTGTTCCACTTATTGGTCCAACGGAACTCTTCCCCTGCAACTTCTCCCGTAATGATATCATGCTGAGTGCTGTCGTCATGACCTACTGGACCAACTTTGCAAAGACCGGGTAAAACAGAACACTCTCTAAAACAGCACAAGCAATACATATGCAACATTTTTGCAAAACAACATGCAAAATCCTATAGAATTAGAAATACAAAGCAACACAAGCAAAACATTATGAGTGATGATACAACATTCTGGACTCAAGGGGAAAAAAATTGCAAAAAATATGATTTATTCATGACATTCTGTAATCAGTTATGCAATGTCATAATTATGCATAATAATGCATTTTGTCACAATACCAGTAGCTCCCATCTTATCCAGCCTCCAGTTAATGATAAACCAGGTGTGTCTGGTAAATTAGTAAGCAGTCACTGTGACCTTGAAGTCGGTCACAAGGAGCATAGCAGAAATTGTGGGAGGAGCAGTGCCAGAAGTAAATTTCAATGTAAAACAGGGCATCAGCTTTTAACTCAATGAAACAGTGCCCTCTGGTGGAAAGGAAGAGGCATTATAAACTGCATCTGTAGATGACCCACTTAAACACATACATTAGCTCACAACAGGGAAAGGTTTCATAAATCTTTTATATGTTTGATAATACTGTTCACAAATAAGTCTATTATGCTCTTAGGCTGCATTTATTTGAAAAAAATATTTTTCAGCAGCCATTATTCCAGTCTTCAGTGTCACATGATCCTTCAGAAGTCATTCTATTATGCTGATTTGGTGCTCAAGTAACATTTATTATTATTACAGTTGTAGTGCTTAAAATTTCTGTGGAAACTATGATAAAAAAATTTTTCCAGGATACTTTGATTAAAGAAAGTTTAAAAGAATAGCATTTACTTGAAATATAAATCTTTTTTAACATTATAAATGTCTTTACTGTCACTTTTTGTTCCAGGTTTTCTGTTACATTTTGATACACTTTCATCAGCTGTAATGTTAATTTTGCTCACTAAATTTATATGCCATTTCAGTCAAAGCAAAATGTAAAAAAATGAATTAACGTGGCATGAGGAAATATAAATTAAATTACTAAAAAAATTTACTAATATCTTTTTCTTTCTTTCTTTCTTTCTTTCTTTCTTTCTTTCTTTCTTTCTTTCTTTCTTTCTTTCTTTCTTTCTTTCTTTCTTTCTTTCTTTCTTTCTTTCTTTCTTTCTTTCTTTCTTTATGTCCCCTAAGGGCAGTTGGTTTTACAGCAAGACCAGCATACAAAAAAGACAATTTACAATAAAAAATTACATTAAAATTTACATATATAAAAAAATAAAAATAAAAAAAAAACAGGACAACACAAGACCAAACAACTACCTGCTTCCACCTACTCCCCACATGCCCGAATTTAGCAAAGAGATAGAAGTAGGAATAAATGAATGTTTGTACCTGTTACTCCTAACAGAAGGAAATTTGAACCGAGATCCTGAGGGTAAAAACTGAAACTCAGGGTAGAGAGGATGGGAAGTAACCACTAAGATAGATTGGGCTTTTCTAACTACCTGGCGATTATATAGGTCGGTAGGATGACTCTGCTGAACTCCTAAAATCTTACTGCTAGCTTGTGTTAACTATTTTCACCAATGCAGTCTTTGCCTTCACACAAAGACTGCCATACCAGCATAACATAGCAAATGTTAAAACAGACTCAATATAAGATTTGTAAAACAGAGTCATCAGGGATCTATCAACGTTAAATTTGGACAGTCTCCGTAGACAGTACAGACATTGCTGGCCCCTTTTAAACACCATTACTATGTCACCCACTTCTTTGATGGGGTATCCCAGCATGCACCCTTACAACACTTTCACACATGGATACAACTCCACCAGCCTGCCCCACCCACACTCCACAACACGTGTATAACATGCAACAGAAACTCCATGTGCTGACACAAAACACTCACATCCCACAAATCTTTACAACACAATCACAACGAGTGATTACTGTAAACCAGATCAAACCAGTGCAAACTGTTTACCAGTATTCAAAATGATAATAGCAGGTGAAACCAATACATAACATGAGCACAATCACCTCTGATTTACGGCACTAGTATGAATCAGTACGGCCATCAGTATAAACCAGAACGAACAATATAAACCAGAAGGAAGTGTCACCGCAACACACTAAAATAAACAGTTTGGCTCAGTATGAACGCACTGCTTCACGTCTGACCTTTGACAACTTTCACATTATATGAGCAGTTAAGAAGCACCTCTGTGGAATAAGATCGACAAAATGAGCAGATTACCAGAAGGTGAGCTGTAGTACCGCTGCCACCTCTAAGTGGTGCTGCAAGACTCTAAAAACCCTGCAGGTGCTTGATCCGCAAGAACAGTAGGGGGCGCTGGAGTCCCATCAGTGGTTCACCTTTATGAACCAAGCAAGCACTTACTAAAATATGTAATAATAATAACCTGTAATAACAAACATATTAATGGCTATTGTACAGTATAACATATATTAACGTCAATGTACAGACAGCTTTTTTGAATGTGTCAGAAAAAAATATTTCTAATCGTTTTTAAACTCAGATTATATCCATAACAAAGAAGGTAATTTGAAGCCCAGATTGATTTAGAATCCAACCTTTTTTTCTTCATTTATAATCACAAAAATGTACAATTTTATACCACATCTCTCTCTCTCTCTCTCGTTCCCCACTTTTCTCTATGAAAAAGGATGCATTGTGCATTTTACTTTTGGTATAATCTATTCATTTAGTAATTTAGTAGATTACGCAAACAGATCTCACCGAGTATTTTAAAGAACAGAGCGTGTGTGAAGATTATTCATGAGCACGAGAGAGCGGATGTGTACAATTTTCAAGTTAAGCATCTAGATAATTTGTGTCTTGCTAAATGTTATCATTTTGTGAAAATGCTTTTCGATCATTTTAAATCTGTATTGTATCTGAGTTTGTTCGATATGTTTAGTGAAAATTGAAAAGCATTGAATTTTTTTTCTGTATTTATCAGTGATTTGACATCACTCATACAGTATATGACATCACTCATGCTGTGATATTACGTCACTCACGCTGTGATAGGACATACAGGCTTTGCTGAGAATTTACGATGTTAATCTTTTCTATAAAACATGAATGTGGTGATTTGTACTGAACACAGGGCTTCTCTGATGAAGGTCGTTCTAAATGATCGTGTTTACTATGGAGCTGCACAGAGTTTGCACAGGGGATACAGTCGTGTTGTCATGGTTTCAGATCCTGCCAGATGGTTAGATTCTCCATGTTACCCATGCTGACCAACCCTGCCATGATTTTTGTGCCAAATTTGCGATACAGTTTCCTTGGTAACCAGCAGAAAGTTTGTCTGTTAACGTGTTTGTGTGAAAGTTCAACAGCTTTATAACAAGAATTTGCAGTATTTACAACCGTTTGAGTTCATCTGGACTTTGAAGAGAAAAGACAATGGCAACTAGATGCGTGGAGTCGGACAACAGCAGTGTGTCTCTCCTGGATGAGGGTGACCTGTGTGCAGCTGCTCAGGTCTGTCAGTACAACGGCTTGTAGAAGTCTGTTCTTTTATACTCTGTATATTTCTGCCTCAAATTTGCAGTAAATATTGAGTTTGCCTAAAAATCCTGCTTCTCGTTTATCAAGATTGATTTGGAGTCTGCAGACTGACGTTTTTGGCGTGATCTCATGAAAAAGTGAAGCATTTAAGATATTTACAGTGCATTCGAGGTAGGCCTATATCGTGCCAGTTTGTGTGTTTCCTGGGAGCGGAACTTGAGAAAAATCTTAGAGCTACAAGAAAAAGCTAAATAGGTCTATAACAAAATATTTGTATGGGGGTATTTCACACAAAATTAAAAATCTATTAGCCTATCTTCCTACCCTTGGGCTGCTGTTTTTTCATACAAATGTGTGCCATAATCCAAGTCCAGGTTTGACTGTACTTTTGAAATCCACATTTTTGAGAATGGCCTGAAAACGGTCAAAAACCAGCATTTCAGTGTTCCTCACTCTTTGAAATGTTCATAAATCAGCCAAATGTTTTGCTTTGTCTGAGAGTTAGCTTTAGAGCTGCAAAACAATGACCTCTATATAAAAACCTCTGTAAGATTTACTCATTAATACAATGAAGGCAATGTGTAAATTTCATCAGTGTGTATTTATGTACAAAAATCACACAGCAAAAAATTATTTTCTTAGTTTTTCTTTAGTTTTTGTCTTGTTTTTCAGTGATAAACAGCAATATCTAAACATTCTTACATCAAGATATTTAAGAAGCAAAACACGTAAAACATCTGCCAGTGGGATAAGAGAAATAAAACTTGTTTATTTCAGAAAACAAGACTTAATACCTAAGTAATTTTGCTTCTCAAGTATATCATGATTTAAGAATGTTTAGATATTTATATCAGAAAAGATATTATTATTTTTTTCTTTTTTTATTTATTTGCAGTGTAAGAACAGGGGTTTGACAAATGCTTTTTATGAAGCACGCAAGCATTATATTTATTTCAAACCGCACATTAGACCTATTGTGTTCATCAATGTAATAGTATTGTTTACGTGTGTGCAAGAGTGAGAGAATTTGTGTGTATGTTACAGAAAGAGTGAATTGTCTGTGTGTTCCTATTTCTGAGACAACTGTAGTATTGTATTGAATGTGCTCTTGTTCCAGTCTGACTCTAAAGGTCACAACTCACTCACTTTGCTTCAAAATCTGTGTGTGTACTTGTACAACTATCTTTGAGATAGATTGAGAACCAGTTTGAGTTTTAACCCATTGGAGTGAGGACCCAGAGAGTAATGTGAGGAGGTTTTAGCCGGTCCTCACATTCTGGTACTCCTTTAAAGGGATGTTTTAGGGTTAAGACTTGATTTTAGAGTAAATATTATAATTTAGTTAAAGTTAAGGTTAGGGTATGGGTTAGGCCCTTAGTTGTGATGGTTAAAGTAAGGGGCTAGGGATTGCATTGTGTCAGTGAATGCCCTCACAAAGTGTGTGTGTGTGTGTGTGTGTGTGTGTGTGTGTGTGAGTAAGGGTTTGGGTTAGGCACTTAGTTCTGAGGGGTAGGGTTAGGGTA